GCATCCTCCTAGAGCAGAAAGAAAACTCCTCCTACAAGCTTTAGTTAGTGCTGGGCTGGACACTGATAGAAGTCACAAGACTGCTAAATGCTGCTGATGAGAAAAGGTATTTGGCAGTTTATATTTACTAAAATAATTGCATTTCCATGTTCTGTGTACTGTGGGAGACCAGTCCGGGGTTTAGCAACACTTTAATAGTAAATGCATGGCCTGAGGGTGCCATCTTTTTTATCCAGGAAAAAGAAACTAAATTTTGTACTAAAATATGAAGGGTAAATTAATCCCTTTTGCAGGTCCTTCATGGCCTGGTTTTTGGGTTTCAAGAGGGGGAAAACTTGCCTCTTGGGTTTTGAGGTACCAGGGAGCAATTGGGCAATAATAGTAATAGCTCATAGGCAGATCTGGAGACATCAGAAAAATCCTGGAAGTGGTCAGGGAGAGATTTTAAAACTACTTGTGCTTGAAGCCAGTAAATAGTGTAGACCTTGTCCTGTACCACAATCTTCTGAGTGACCCTCTCGAACTGGTATTCGAGTTGTGTGCACAGAACCATGGGTAACCCAAAATTAGTTGGAGGAATGGATAGCAGATAATGAAGAACAAGATCTTTTCTTGGTGATGGACTCCCATGGTGAAGATTAGCATGGGAGTCTGGAGGCTGACTGTACCTTGGGCTAGCAGGCAGCTGTCAACAGCAATCAGGAAGGACAGGGGAACCACCAGAACAATAGGGAGCTGAGGCTGACTGACTAGACCTCATCTATGAAATTACTAGCTGAACCAGAGTCCACAAAGCTGAGAAGTTATGCTTATCTATGTTGGGTAAGATTTGCAGACAGGGACAAATACTGTACCTTGCTATATACTTCAGGGAAATGGCCTAGCAAAGTTCTTACCACCCCCTCACTTCACTAGGCCTAGGCATTTCCTAGCTTAATGGGGAGCCTGTTCTCATAAAGTCCCTTGGAACAACAATAAAAAAGAGACCAAGGTTCCTTCTGCACAGCTTCTCCTGAGCAGAAAGACGAGTGGCCCCAATCTGCACAGGCACATCCAGTAAAACAGTGGTGGCTGGAGCCTCGGGTATAAGTAAGCTGAAGAGCAAAGGAAGATAGTAATGACCCGTCTTCAGAGCAATACTCACAAAGCAACTTGTCAATATGGATTCATGGCTTCTTTAGCGTTCTTGGTGTGGGATGATTAACTAGAGCATTCTTGCATACTCTTAACTGTCTACGGAGTACTATATTATTATTATTATACAGTATTTATATAGCGCCAAAAGGTTTGCTCAGCGCTGTACATTATAGTGTGGGACAGTACATGAGACAATACAGTAACAAAACAATACACGAGGGGTTCAAGGGCCCTGCTCTTTCGAGCTTACAATCTAGGAGGGAGGGGAAAGTGGTACAGGAGGAAGTGGCTGTGGGGATGGAGTGGTAGGAGGAGTGGAGGAGATCAGCTGTTAGGTGAGGGTGGGGGGTATGCTTCCCTGAAGATATGGGTTTTCAGGGTGCGCCTAAAGGTGAGGAGGGTAGGTGACAGTCTGATGAATTGGGGAAGTGAGTTCCAGAGGATGGGGAAAGTCCTGGAGAAGTCCTGCAGTCGGGCGTGGGAGGTGGAGACCAGGGAACTAGAAAGTAGGAGGTCTTGTGAGGAGCGAAGATTAAGGGTTGGGTGGTGTTTGGGTATCAGGTCGGTGAGGTAGTTTGGGGCAGCGTTGTGAATGGCTTTGTATGTCAATGTTAGTAGTTTGAATTTAATGCGTTGGACAATCGGGAGCCAGTGGAGGGCATGACAAAGGGGGGTGACAGAAGAGGAGCGGTTGGTAAGGTGGATGAGTCTGGCCTCTGAGTTCAGGATAGACTGAAGCGGGGATAGTCTGTAATGAGGTAGGCCGGTGAGAAGGGAGTTGCAGTAGTCCAAACATGAAATAATGAGGGAGTGAACGAGTTGTTTAGTAGTGTCTGGGGTTAGGAACGTACGTATTTTGGAGATGTTGCAGAGGTGGAGTCTGCATGAGTTTGCCAACGATTGGACATGGGGTTGGAAGTACAGGTTTGAGTCTAGAGTGACACCTAGGACTTGCGGGGTGGGACTGATCATTTCAGCCTACATCTGGGGCTGATCTCAAGAACAATATTATTTAGTGGGCTGCCTGCTTTGATGTAAAGTAGAAAGGTGTGCTTCTGTCATGCAGTTAGGATCATTATAAACAAGACACAGAGCGTTGAAGAACATGTCCACAAAAGCCTGGGCAGGTTCACAGGATGGTAATCTGAAGGCCCAGGACAATGGATCCCCTTGGAATAAAATCATTACAATCTTTACTTTTTGTTGTTCAGAACCTGAGGACCAGGGATGAAGCTCGAAAAATTTGAATTTTTAAAGTTTGAAAGGTCCCAGCAGTTGCTGTTAAAATGATCTGGAAAATGAATCTTTGTCTCATCAGGTTCAGAGGCCACTAATACAACAGTAATTGCAGGGTCTGGGTGCAGCTGATAAGTCTGTGGTTTCTTGGAAGTTACAGATCAGTTTACAAAATTCATCTGCCATTAACTGGGTCTGAGTAGGATCCATATTCACGTGTGGTTTGTAATAATTTAAGGTTCACTGGTTTGTGCAGGGTTCTGTGAAAATAACAAGACTAATGCACAGTTTCACCTGCCTTTCCTTTGTGGGTAATATAGCTAAGGTACTTGGATGCCACCAGGACTTATAGCTCAGTGCTATATTTGCTCAACTGGGATGCTCCCCAGCAACCTTTAGATGTAGAAAGTTCACGTATCATGTCATATGACTTCATATTGTAGAAAAAGTTCAAGGCAGGTACTATATGCAGGAGTGACTAGGACTAGTGATGGCAGAATGCAAGCCTGCAGTGAACAAAACAGGTAACATTATGGTCAGGACAGGTCGCAATCAGAAACATATCCATTATCAAACAAGGATCAGGGCAGGTGGCGATCAGAGAGAAATTCTTTTTGACAGAGAAGGTGTCAGCAGCAGGAGAATCGACAAGAAGCAATAAAACTATGCTTACAGGGACATGACAATGTGAGGGTACAGGAGCCAAGTAGCAAACACTACTACAAACCCTTGTGATGTCTATAAAAAAGCCACAGTGCTGCCAGCCAACCACGGGGAAAGATGCTAGGCAAATGGGGCTGACCTGCTGCTAAGCAAAGAGGATGACACCGGAGGGAAGTGCCTCCACCTGCCAATAGTTGAGGAGGAGGCATTGCCCAACAACCAATATTTGGGAAGAGAAACCACAGAAATTGGAGGAGTGGCAGTAAAATACCTCAAAGTGTGTCAGTAAGTGCTGGGTAAGCGAGGGGTGTCATCTTCAAGTGTGCAGAGAAATCACAAAACAATTTGGTGGCTCTTCTGGGGATAGCGCTACACTACAGAATATTAACAATGCTCTTTTTCCTGGCTCTAACTAATTCTTTAAATCTTTTTGTTGTTTTTTATTAATAAAGAAACTGTGTAAAAGCACTTTTTTTTGTGTGTAAACACATTACTAAACAAAAAAGCAACATTGTAGCCTCTTGTTGTGGTTAATGGTTGTACAAAGACTTGCTGAGTCTTCTACTTTTGCTTCCTCCCTCCTTACTTCCCTTTTAATTGTGGACACTTGCAAAACATTGGTGCCTATTAGAAAAAAAAAAAAAAACAGAAAATAAATGTTTTCACCATACGCACCCTTATAATATTCCTTCGCTTCCGACATTCCTGTGTCATATTCACCATATAGTTATGGGGAATAGGAGTACTAACTTTATTACAGGCATATTTTTTAATTTGTTGAGTGAATGACTCTAAATATCATAGCTAGCAAATCAGCATGACAGCCAAGCAAATAGCATTATAGGAGAAACTCAGTATTGACAGCATCTATAAATTACAAGAAAATCGCACCCTGCCATCTGCATATTTTTGGATGTGTTACCGAGGGGGGGCGCCTTGTATGAAAGTTCATATTTTAAAACATTTAAGGGTCAAGAGCATCAAATACAGCCAATGCATTCTGGGGGGGGGGGGGGTCTCCCCCTTCTTTGGGCCTAACATTCAGGGTCCACCTACACTATATTTTTCATCATGGATTTGTTTCTTTGAAGGAAAACACACTTTAAGGTATATCTATCACAACTAATTTTTGCTTTCATCGGTCCACTGCTAATATACACACAGTAAGCATCTGCATATGTCTCATGACAAACTTACATTAAAATTGTCTATTTTATCAGGATTTAATGTTAGTAACTGACCACATATCCCATGAGTGCCATAATAGCAGTGGGGACCTTTCCACCTTTATCATGGTATAAAACTTTCTGGTATTCTCAATTTATCCAGGCTGACATTCAAATGTACCCCGGCATAGTGATGATGATAATTAGAGATGAGCGAAGTATTCAAAAATTTGATTCGGCTGATTCGGCGAATTCGAGGAATAAATTCGATTCGATGCGAATATATTCGCTGCAATTTTAACTTATAAAAGGGTGTTTCTAGGCTTCAGAGAGCCTTTATATTAGTGCAGAACACTGTACCTTTAATTTAAATGCCCTTGGAGTCTGCTGGGGGAAGAGAAATAATACTGTCAGTCAGTATGACATGCAGATGATGCCGTCGATCTTAGAATCACCGCACACTTCACTCATTTGGGCAGTCACGGGCCAAAACCAGAGTGTGGAGCCACAGTGTGGCGGTGGAGGCAGCAGCAATGGGAGGCCATACAGCACCCTATGACAAAAATGGAACCCACCAGCAGTGTGAGGAGACCTGAAAGTGGCACATGGCAGAGTGTGGCGATGGAGACAGCAGCAATGGGAGGCCGTACAGGGACCCATGACACACTCTGGACCTGGCAGCAGGATTAGGAGGCTGGTACAGGGGCCCATGGCACATTACGGGCCTGGCAGCAGCAATGGGAGGCCCGTAATCTGCCAGCACCCTATGACAAAATGGAACACACCAGCAGTGTGAGGAGACCTGAAAGTGGCACATGGCAGAGTGTGGCGATGGAGACAGCAGCAATGGGAGGCGTACAGGGACCCATGACACACTCTGGACCTGGCAGCAGCATGAGGAGGCGGTACAGGGGCCCATGGCAGATTACGGGCCTGGCAGCAGCAATGGGAGGCCCATAATCTGCCAGCACCCTATGACAAAATGGAACCCACCAGCAGTGTGAGGAGACCTGAAAGTGGCACATGGCAGAGTGTGGCGATGGAGACAGCAGCAATGGGAGGCCGTACAGGGACCCATGAGAGACTGTGGACCTGGCAGCAGCATGAGGAGGCGGTACTCTCAGGGCCCATGGCAGATTACGGGCCTGGCAGCAGCAATGGGAGGCCCGTAATCATGCCAGCACCCTATGACAAAAAAATGGAACACACAGCAGTGTGAGGAGACCTGAAAGTGGCACATGGCAGAGTGTGGCGATGGAAGACAGCAGGCAAATGGGAGAGCCGTACAGGGACCCATGAGGAGACTCTGGACCTGGCAGCACATGACGGGCCTGGCAGCAGCAATGGAGGCCCGTAATCTGCCAGCACCTTATGACAAATAATGGAACCCACCAGTCAGTGTGAGAGACCTGAAAGTGTGGCACATGGCACAGGAAAAAAGGGGGAAAAGGGTGTGGCGTTGGAGACAGCAAGCAAATGGAGGCCGTTCAGGGACCCATGAGGACACTGTGGACCCTGGCAAGCAAGAAACAAGTGATTGAGGAGCGGTACAGGGGGGGCCCATGGCAGATTACGGGCCTGGGCAGCAGCAATGGGAGGCCCGTAATCTGCCACAGCACCCTATGACAAAAAATGTAACACACCAGTCAGTGTGAGGAGACCTGATAAAGTGGCACATGGCAGAGTGTGTGGCGATGGAGACAGCAGCAAATGGGAGGACCGTACAGGGTACCCATTGAGCACACTGTGGACCTGGCAGCAGCATGAGGAGGCGGTACGAGGGGCCATGGCAGATTACGGGCCTGGCAGCAGCAATGGGAGGCCCGTAATCTGCCAGCACCCTATGACAAAAATGTAACACACCAGCAGTGTGAGGAGACCTGAAAGTGGCACATGAACAGAGTGTGGCGATGGAGACAGCAGCAATGGGAGGGCCGTACAGGGACCCATGAGAGACTCTGGACCTGGCAGCAGCATGAGAGGCGGGTACGTGGGGCCCATGGCAGATTACGGGCCTGGCAGCAGCAAATGGGAGGCCCGTAATCTGCCAGCACACCTATGACAAAAAATGGGAACCCACCAGCAGTGTGAGGAGACCTGAAAGTGGCACATGGCAGAGTGTGTGCGATGGAGACAGCAGCAATGGGAGGCCGTTACCGGGACCCATGAGAGACTGTGGGGGACCTGGCTGCCAGCATGAGGAGGCGGTACTTGTGGGGCCCCAATGGCAGAATACGGGCCTGGCCAGCAGCAATGGGGTGGCCCTGTAAATCTGCCAGCACCTAATGACAAAAAATGTAACACACGCAGCAGTGTGGAGGAGACCTGAAGAGTGGCACATGGCAGAGTGTGGGCGATTGAGAAGACAGCAAGACTACAATGGGAGGCCGTACAGGGAACCATGACAGCACTCTGGAACCTGGCAGCAGAGGACAATGAGGAGGCTGTACTGTGGCCCATGGCAGGATTACGGGCCTGGCATCAGCAATGGGGAGAGGCCACTGTAATCTGCTGCAGCACCCTATGAACAAAAAATGAGAACCCACTAGCCGTATGTGGCGGAGACCTGAAAGTTGGCACAAAAACGGGCTGGCAGAGTTGTGGCCCGATGGAGACCAGCAGCAATGGGAGGCCGTACAGGGGACCCATGATGAGACTGTGGACCTGGCAGCAGCATGTAGGAGGCGGTTACAGGTGCCCATGTGCAGATTACGGGACTAGGCATGCAGCAATGGGAGGCCCGTATAACTATGGGCTAGCACCCCTAATAGACAAAAAATGTAATCACACCAGCAGCTTGTGAGGAAGACCTGAAAGTGGCACATTGGCAGAGTGTGGCGATGGAGACAGCAGCAATGGGAGGCCCGTACAGGGAACCAATGAGAGAGCTCTGGACCTGGGGGCAGCCAGGCATGATGAGGCCGGGGGGAGGTACTGGGGCCCATGGCAGATTAAGGGCCTGGCAGCAGCAATAGGAGGGACCCGTAATCTGACAGCACCCTATGAACAAAAATTTGATAACACAGGACCAGCAGTGTGAGGAGACCTGAAAGTGGCACATGCATAGTGCGTGGCGATGGAAGGACAGCTAGCAATGGGAGGCCCGTCACATGGTCCCATGAGAGACTGTGGACTCTGGCAGCAAGCAGCAATGAGGAGGCTGGTACGGGGGCCCATGGCAGATTACGCGGCCTGGCTAGCAGCAATGGGAGGGCGCCGTAAATCTGCCAGCAACCCTATGACACAAAAAAAATTTGGGGGAAAAAAAATAACCCGACCAGCAGTGTGATGAGACCTGAAAAGTGGCACATGGCAGAGTGTGGCGATGGAGACAGCAGCAATGGGAGGCAGTACAGGGACCCAATGAGACACTGGTGCACCTGGCAAGCAGCATAAGGAGGAGGGTTACAGGTGCCCATGGCAGATTCACGGGCTGGCTGGAGGCAGCAATGGGAGGCCCGTAATCTGCCAGCACCCTATGACTAAAAAATGTAACACACCAGCAGTGTGAGGAGACCTGAAAGTGGCACCGATGGCAGGAGTGGGTGTGGCCGATGGAGACTAGCAGCAAATGGGAGGACCGTACAGGGACCCATGAGAGACTCTGGACCGGCAGCAGCATGAGGAGGCGGTCCTGGGGCCCATGGCTAGATTACGGGCCTGGCAGCAGCAATTGGAGAGGCCCGTAATCTGCCAGCACCCCAATGACCAAAAAATGTAAACACACTCAGCACCCAACCAGCCAGTGTTGAGGAGACCTGAAAGTGGCACATGGACCAGAGTGTGGCGATGGAGTACAGGCAGCAATGGGAGGCCGTACACAGGGAACCCATGAGATCACTGTGGACCTTGGCAGCAGCATCTGAGGCAAGGCGGGTACAGGGGCCCAATGGCAGATTACGGTGCCTGGCAGCAGCAATGGAGGCCCGTAATCTGCCAGCACCCCTATGAACAAAACAAATGGATCACACCAGCAGTCGTGAGGAGACCTGAAAGTGGCCCACATGGCAAGAGTGTGGGCGAGTGGAGACCAGCAGCAATGGGAAAAAAAAAAAAAGAAAAAAAGGACCCGTACAGGGACCCATGAGATGACTCAGGGACCATGGCAGACAGCATGGAAGAGGCCGGTAACAGGGGCCCAATGTCAGATTACGGGCCTGGCAGCAGCAATTGGGAGGCCCGTAATCTGTCCAGCCACCCTTATGACATCACAATGTAAACACATATCCAGCAGTGTGAGGAGACCTGAAAGTGGCACATGGCAGAGTTTGTGGCGATGGGAAACAGCAGCAATTGGGAGGCCGTACAGGGACCCATGAGAGGACATCTGTTGGAGACCACTTAATATGGGCAGCAGCATGAGCGAGTCGGTACACAGGGCCCATGGCAGATTTACGGCCTGGCACCAGAGGGCAGCAGCAATGCGATGGCCCGTAAATCTGGCCAGCCACCATGATGACAAAAAATGGACACACACCAAGCCTGTTGAGGAGACCTGAAAGTGGCACATGTTGGGGGCATGATTCATGGCGGATTTTAGTCAGTTAGTGTCAGGGAACTGGTGGTGTTGAAATTCCAGACTAATCCACGCCTGATTCATTATATCACAAACGTGAGTCTCTCCACACTTAGGGTGGACAGTCCGTGTCCTCCCGGAGAGGTTACAAATACCATCCTGCCGCACCTAAACACGCGCATATCCGATGCCACGCCACGTAGGACGGGCATTGAACAGCCGTTCAAGGGGCTCATTCAGCTAGTTGGGGCTCAAACGGTCAAGATTCGTTGCCCAGAGTCAGATCTAGGGGATTGTCTACCTCGGTTGGCAGGAGTGTGCCTGTCCAAGTAGGCCCAAGCCATGTTGATTTCGAGGTCCTGCTACACGGTCCAACCTGATGCTGGGCATGCTGCTGCGGCTGGTTTTGTAGTGTTCCTCACTGATGACTGCTCTGGTTGAAAGGAAAGCTACTCATCATTCAAAAAAAATATGACCTGCAGACTGAGGCAAGCCGCTGCTGGTGGGAGCAGCCACTGCTCCTAACCACCCCACCCACCCCTCCCCGCTGCCATGGCAGCGGAACGCGAGCGCACAGGGCCCACAGTGTCCTGAGGATGGACGTTGGCGCAGAAAGGCAGAGACCAAAACTGACAACATAGGTGGTTTTTTATAGTACGTTATTTTGGCCTCCCCTCTCAGCAGGTGTGAAAAAGGCCACCATTTTTGAACGGTAGCGAGGGTCCAACAAGGTGGACAGCCTAAAAAGTCATCCCTCTGTCTGATGGTTATTATTCGGCTGTCGCTACGCAAGCAACCGAGCATGCTATGGGCCATTTGTGCCAAGGAATGCGAGGACTCCCTGCCTCCATCTCCACAGCATACTGCACGGTGCGTCTGGTCCTCTGTCTCCTCCTCCTCTCTACCAGATGCCATCCTGCTCCCTCCACTCCTGTCCGCTGAGTGGAAAAACCACCCATTTCACTCAATAATTCCTGAGCACAAATGTCCTCCTCTACCTCCTCCTCTTCTTCCTGTCCTGCCCCCACAGGGGGGTCATGGTGGCGTTGAGATCTGTGCGCCACGTCTACCGCACCCCTGACCAAAGCCATTGTTAACAGCCATTTGTTCCAGGACGTGCAACAGAGGAAATTGACGTCTGTTCATCCCATAGTCCTGCCGACTCACGAATAGCGTGGCCTCCTCAAAGGGCCTGAGCAGCGGCAGGTGTCACGCATGAGCTGCCAATGGCTGACATCGAAGTTTACACAGGGGAGTACCTTTATCCGCTTGTAAACATCAGGGGGGGGAAAAATATGGTGATGGCCTTTCGCTGTCGTAAAGGGCGGTGTCTAACATGTGTAGGGTTGAATTCCAGCCGATGTTGCAACGTCGCAGATCAGGCGATGCTGTGGAAATTCCGTTCTGCCGCTGCAGCTCAAGGAGGGGTGCTTTGCGGTGTAGGAATGGCTGAAATGCATGCAAAGTTTTACGTGACATTTTTAAGGATGTCTTGCAGGTGGGATGGTGGATTTTAGGAACTGCTTGACAACCAGATGAACACGTGAGCCATGCATGGCGCATGGCACAACCTTTCCTTGACGCAGAGCAAGACACCATGTTCTTTCCGTTGTCGGTCAACATGGTTCCGATTTTCATTTGCGCGGAGACAGCCATCTGTCGATTTCTCTGTTCATTACACTCAGAAGTTCCTCCCCTGTGTGACTACGTTCGCCAAGGCATACCAGGTGGCAGCACAGCGTGACACCGTTTGCGCCTGCACATGTGATATGCCGGTCGGTAATGGGACTTTGGCACGGGGTGGTGCTGAGGACGACGGCGGAAGAAGAGGTGGGTAGAGGCGGACATCTTTTGTGGACCACCAAGGTGGAAAAAAAACGTGCAAACGTGGAGGCAAAAAGCGGCGTGACCTGTCCAAGTGCTGGTGCGCTGTGCCGGCACCACCACGTTCACCGGCGCAGTGGGCCGTAAATGACATTGTACTGTCCCTGACCGTAGTTACAGCTCCACACACTACCACACTCGGCACTGCCGGTGCACTTTGGCAGAGACCGAACATGCTCAAAGACTGGCCCACACATCTCTTCTACATGATGAATGCAGGGCTGGCACTGCCTTTTTGGCGAAGAATGACGGCGTTGGCACTCTCCACCGCGGCGCGGCACAAGCCATCATTTCTTGGAAAGGTGCTGAGTCCACCACTTGGAAAAGGTAGGGGACTGCATGCACCAGCAACTTGGGACAGAGGACGTTCAGCTTTTGCACCGTCGGGTGCTGTGCTCGCAAACTGTTGTCTCTTGGAAACGAATTCCAAGAAAGAAAAGACTGCTGACGGAATCCGTGAAGAGGATGTAAGCAGGAGCAAGGAGCATCTGAACGAGCAGAAGATGCCAACGAGCGACAACTCCCCTCAGCAGAGGTGTTGGAGCCTTGACTGGCCTGATAGAGGGCGATTGACGTCG